AGAAAGAGAATCCCACGCAGACTCCCTGCTGTCAGCACAGAGCCCAGTGCAGGGCTTGAACTCATGAACTGTGAGATCATGACCTAAGCTGAAATCAAGAGTCAGATGCTTAACTGACTGAGCCATCCAGGCACCCCCAATTTGTATTTTTAAAAAAATACCCTTCATGGCATGGCTAAGTGCCACAGATACAGATATCATAATAGGAAAGTAGGCATTATTAAATAAAAATAATAAAAAGATGACCAGAGGGAATAAAACATAGAAACCCCAAAATATGTGACAAATCATATACAAAATGAGGATCTGGATGAGCCAAGAAGGAATTTGAAGATAATACTTAAAAGGATTCCAAAAATTAATATTCAATTACTTAAAACTTCAGAGGTTGAAATCTATCTCTAAAATTATTGGGATCTTTAGACAATAGAAATGAAAAAAATTTTTGATATGAAAAGGTGATTTTATTAAAGCATGGGGACAGGACCCATGAGCAGGGAGAGCTGCACTGTAAGTTTTTTGGGGGGGGACCGTTTTATGGAGTCAGGGGAGAAATGAATTACTTTTATTATTCATTCAGCACATTTACTGAATATTTCCTATACACCAGACATGGATTATATAAAAGTAAAAGAAATGATCTCTGCTTCTCACAAGTTTCTTGTTTAGTGGAAGAACTCACAATTTAGTTTTAATTAGTAAAAACATTAGGGGTATTCTCAGCCATCCTCAATTATTTTGAAATAAGTGTGGTATATAAACACAGAATTTTCTAGCTCTACAGTCCATTAGCCATATGTGGCTATTAAATTTAAATCTAAAAATTCCATTAAGTGCAGATACATAACATTTCCATTATTGAATAAAGTTCTGTTGGACAGTGCCATTCATGAGCTAAACAAGCTACATAATATATCAGTTACCAGGACTGGATAGCATCCCTTTAGAATTTATTTGTTCCTGGGGCGCCAGGGTGGCTTAGTCAGTTACGCGTCCGACTTTCGCTTAGGTCATGATCTCGCGGTTAGTGGGTTCGAGCCCCGCGTCGGGCTCTGTGCTGACTGCCAGCTCAGAGCCTGGAGCCTGTTTCAGAGTCTGTCACTCCCTCTCTCTCTGACCCTCCCCTGCTCAAGCTGTTTCTCTCTCTCCTAGAAATAAATAAAACATTTAAAAAAAAAAAAAGAATTTATTTGTTCCTATGTTCAATTTTCCTTCATTCATTTAAGAAACTTTTATTGACTACTCATTACATGTCAGACATTGTGCTAGGTGACAGGGATGTAGAAATGGAAGTATATTCTCAACCCTAGGGAGTTCGTGGACATGTGGGAAGACCCAGACAGATAAACAATTATAAGATAGCAAAATGGGTGGTGTAGTTAGAGAGACTAACCCAGCCTGTTAGGATGATGGAAGTTTTTCAGTGAAGGTGGTGATTGAATGGAAGAATAAGTAAGAGTTATCTGATGGAAAAGAAGGGGAGAAAGGCTGTTCCAGGCAGAAGGATTACAGAAACTATGGGAAGGGACTGTGGCATATGCAAGAAAATGCAGGTAGTTTGGTATGGAAAGAACTTAAGGTACTCCTAGGGAAGTAGTAAGAGATGAGACTAAAGAGATAGGCAAAGGCCAGATTATAAAGGACCTTATCTGTCTTGCTTTATTGTGAAGGTGATGGGGAACCAGTGAAAAATGCTAAACTATGAAGTGGCCAGTCACATTTATATCTTACATAAATCACACAGGGAGTAGTGGATGGAGGGGTGGCACAGAAGAAGCAGAGAGATCAGAATGGAGTATGTGTTAACATCCAAGCAAGAAATGTTAGCTTGAACTAAGGTAGAGACAGATTCAGACTCAAAATGTTTCACAAGATAGAAACAACAGGACTGAGTGAATTTTCATTTTAAAGAAGAAAAAAATATGAAGCCATTGAACAAATTGAATAGCATATAATTACAAATGTCCTCTGTACCAGATGATTATCAGGTTGCTAAATTATCTTCTCTCCCTAGAAAACATTTGAGAAGAAGCACTTACATATTGGTTGGGTTCTAACCAATAGGAGAGAGAGGACAGGATTGGATAAAAGATAGGCTGAATACTTAGTCAGATTCTGGATCAGTGGATTGAATGCTAGGAGATTCTGGGCAAGTCATGACATTTTTAATATTTCTAATCTATAAAATGAAAGACCAAGTGGCTTTAAAAAGCCTTCAGGAGACAGTGAAGGTATTTCAAAGGGAGTTCTCCTCTAGCAGCAAGATTTTATGATCCATCATCTGCCTGTCCTATTTACTAAAATAAGTTATTGTGATGATCAGTGTAGGTGTTGTGTGAGAAAGTGCTTTGTAAACTGTGAAGTGCTACATAAATGTATGGTACTATTATAATTTTGACACTAAGCTCTTTGGTTTGATGCCAAGCAATGGAGCTTAAACTATAGTACCTTAAATAGGAACTGAAGGAGAAGAAAATGACAGATTATTTCCAGTGCAGAAAAATTCTGGGAGATTAAGATATCTGGGAGATAAATCTGAGAGAATTAGATAATAATTGAAATTGAGCTTATTTTTATGCCTGGTATATAAAGTAAGTCTTCTTGTGTTAGAGGAAGTATTTGTTTTCTGTGTATGGGTATGTATACGTGGAGATGGTAGAAGCTAAGCTAACATTTACAGCCTTGGTGGGAAAGCACTAGGGATTCATAGTAAACTGGTACTTGGAAACAGTAGCCTGAGATTGTGGCCAAAAAAGCCAACAATGTGCTGGGTGGTCTTAAGAAAACTACTTTTTACCTTTTAAATTAAAAGATACTTTTGGAGCGCATGGGTGGCTCCCTCAGTTAAGTGTCTGACCCTTGATTTTGGCTCAGGTGATGACCTCTCAGTTTGTGAGATCAAGCCCTGCATTGTCTGCGCAGAGCCTGCTTAGAATTGTCTCCCTCTGTGCCTCTCCCCTGACTCTCACACACACACACTCTCTCTCAAAATAAGTAAACATTTAAAAATACTTATACTTTTAGTAGGTTGTTATAATTTTGCTTATTATTTCTCAATTAAGACCTGATGGTACTAGAGAAAGACAGTTCAATTTGGGACATGGTTGTGGGTGATGGGGTTGCCACAGTATGAAAGAAGGCTACTCTTCACTGTATGAAAAGGCAATGATGTGAATGAATTACACTAAATATTGAAAACTCTGGCTGGATTGGCTCAATAAATCTTAGTTTTCTGGAAAAGGGGGCCTGAGAAAAGTGAGTATAGTCACCTATCTACTGGCCATAACTAACTACATATGTAGTAAGTACATAGCAGAAAACCAAGATCTAAAGGGACAAAATGACACACCTCTGAGTAACAAAAAGGTTACTCCTACTAGAAAAGTACATATACTCAAAGGCATATATAAAACCCATTCACCTTACGTGTGGGAGAGGCCCTTGCTCAGGCTGTATTTGCTCTTACCTTAGACACAATTCTAGTAGTGGATTAGCTGACCGGCCAATTCTAGTAGTGGATTAGCTGACCGGCCAGTTTAAGAGTATTAAGGGTAGCATATTAATAAGATGGATGAGAGAGCAGGGAGTAAGAATTGATGTTAAAACTGCAAGAGGGAAGGCAGAAAAATTATAAACACTAGATACAAGAACTTAAACAGCACAGCATTCTGAGCTATTTAACTAACTAAATAAGGACCGTAATACTGCGGTAGCCCTGGGAATTTATTGTATTGTATAGAATAAAAAATGTTCTTAACAGTAATCCAGGGAATTAAGAAACGTTTGAATAATATTTAGGATGCTAAAAAAAAAAGTTTAAAAACGAAGTATTATGTTACAGTTTAAAATTCCATCAAAAAATGCTTAAGATTAAAAAGTTTTGATGCTTAAAGCAAAATTAACATTATCTTAAAATAAGAGCAACAACAAAAGTTTATTTTAACATTTTCATTCGCTAAAAGTGCCAGATAAATTAAGCTATGCTAAGCTTTCATGTATCTGAATTCAAATACATGATTCTGAGCCTTTCTAAATTATATTTCACATATAACGCACTGAGCTTAAGAATTATTTTTGTTTTTCCAAGAACTATATATATAGGCTGAAAATTTAAATGGCTTCTAAGGCTTAGATAAATTCATAAATGGAAAATCTGTAATGTTTTCTAGGAAAACTCGGATATTAATGAGGAAAGAGAATGCTTGCTGGCATTCTTTTATCAGAGAAGATTTCATGTAAAATGATAAGGTCTTTTTGTGAGTTAAAAGTCTTTTGTCTTCAAAATAACTAGCATTGGAATTGTCTTCAACTTAACTAAACAAGCTATGTTACTAGTATTAAAATTTTTCAAGTACAAAAAATTGTTGAAAAAAATTTTTTTAATTATTTTCAGTTTTGTCTTAAGAGTATTTTTTAGTTTTTAAAGAGATGAAATGCCTTTTATGAAAAAAAATATTAGACACGAACAGACATTCCTGCATCATTGTCATTTTGCTACTTAGAACACTTTACCTGTTGTCTACACCTAAAGCTGACTTTTTTTGTATTTGCCCATTATTGCTTTTAGCTAGAGGTAGGAATTTTATAAGCATGTTCTGCAACAAAGGAGAATTTTTGAAATATGTTGACAGCCATGGAATTGGTATAGTTTCAAAATGCTTCTGTAATCATTCACCTAAGGCTAAATAGAGTCAGAAAACTTTTCTTGATTGAAGTATATTACTACTCTTGAACTTTTCGTGGGATAACCATTCTAAATTTATTGTAATTAAGGATTACAGTGATTAAATGGTAGATTAGAAGTTTAGAATTATTAAAATACTTGTGGTAATGGGTGTGGAGAGCATTCTTAGTAGTGGAAATTGAAGGCCATAAGTAGTCTTCATTTGAAATGGTTATGTATAAATATTATAATATATTTGTAATGAGTAGAAATTAATTTAGTGTTTAAATCCTTATATATTTCACAATCTTGTTTTTATTTTTATTTTTTTTAATAGTGTTTGCCAGCTCTGAGCCTGTGCCAGGATTCCAGGGGGATACCCTGCAGCTAGCATTCATTGACCTCAGACAAGTAAGATGTAATAATGTAGTTCTCATTTATTGCCATCAACTGTTGCCTTTTTTTTCCCTAATGCTACAGGAATGCTTGCTCTTTTGCATTGAAACAACCTTTCTTTGAAAAATTCTTCTTTGATAACTATGTGTTTGGCCCTTCTCTCTGAACTTGTATCTCTATTTGGTATCTTAGCCTCATGGAGTATTCTCATTGGTGAATATCTAACTTAGTCATTACCTTCTAAGTACGACTAAGTAACGTTATACTTTGGTGTAATGACACTTGAAATTTGAGTTCTTTCTTTTTTTTTTAATGTTTATTTTGAGAGAGAGAAAGTTCGTGTGTGTGAGCACGGGAGGTCTAGAGGGAAGGGGAGAAAGAGAATCCCAAGCAGGTTCCACACTCAGCATGATCTTGAGATCACAACCTGAGCTACTGTCAAGAGTCGGATGCTCAACTGACTGAGCCACCCAGGCGCCCCTCAAGTTTGGGTTATTTCTTTTTTTTTTTTTTTTTTTTNTATTTATTTCTAGGAGAGGGAGAGACAGCGTGAGCAGGGGAGGGTCAGAGAGAGAGGGAGTCACAGACTGAAACAGGCTCCAGGCTCTGAGCTGGCAGTCAGCACAGAGCCTGACGCGGGGCTCGAACCCACAAACCGCGAGATCACGACCTAAGCGAAAGTCGGACGCTTAACCGACTAAGCCACCCAGGCGCCCCAGGTTTGGGTTATTTCTTAATGATTTCATGGTTCTGTATGAAAATTGGTGATATAATTAGTGTCAGGGCCCAAGTCAAATATAAATTACTACAACATAGAAAGGAGCCCCTTGCTTAAGATTTTGCCAGTGATAAAGATTGCTTTTTTTTAAATGTTTATTTTGAGAGAGAGAGAGAGAGAGAGCACGCATGCATGCACAAGCAGAGAGAGAGGCAGAGAGAGAATCCCAAGCAGGCTCTTGCACCATCAACACGGAGCCTAGTGTGGGCTCAAACTCCCAAACTGAGATCGTGACCTGAGTCGAAATCAAGAGTCAAATACTTAAACACCGAGCCACTCAGGTGCCCCAATATAATAATTTTTTAATCTCTTCTAATCATTTTACTACTCTTTGCATTTCTACTCTTGTCATTTTATTTAGTTCCTATTACCCTTTTTCCACCTCTACCATATTTTTTCTTATTATTTCTTTCTTTCTCTCTCCCCTTTCCTCCTTTTTCTTTCTTAATCCTAGGCTTAAGGAGTTTAATAGAGCTGAGAGGCACAGGAGTATGGAGGAGAGGTGGATCCAAGGTAGAGGGTTCAGGAATGCAAAAATGACAACAGGAGTGACTGCTACCCTTGACAAGAAGAACCAAATGGAGATGGAATTAAAGCCACTGTGGGGGTGTCTTTCTGGCTTAGTTGGTAGAGCATGTGATTCTTGATCATGGGGTTGTGAGTTCGAGCTTCACACTGGGCATAGAGATTACTTAAAAATAAAACCTTAAAAAGAAAGACACTGTAATTATTAGTTTACTAATGGTCCTAGCCCCTTTGGGGATAGAGATGACTGAAGATGGGGACCCATTGCTGATATAAAATAAACTCTACTAATAGTGATGTTTGGAGAAGGACCAATTTGAGCAATTAAGGAATTGTGATTTCACAGGGCGCCTGGGTGGCTCAGTTGGTTAAGCATCCAACTTCGGCTCAGGTTGTGATCTCACAGTTCATGGGTTTGAGCCCCGCATCAGTCTCTGTGCTGACAGCTAGCTCAGAGCCTGGAGCCTGCTTCAGATTGTGTATCTCCCTTTCTGATCTTCCCCTGCTTATGCTGTTTCTCTCTCTCAGAAATAAATAAAACATTAAAAATTTTTTTTAAAAAAAGGAATTGTGATTTTAGTAAATGTTTAAGAATAGAGATGTGTTTGCTTTAATTCCAAACCAGTGTTCTATAAACATGTATTTTACTACGTACTGATTATTTGGAGAGGGGTGATATGGTTGAAATAGACACAGAAGTAATAGAGAGTTTCGTTCTTGTGGAGCTTAAAACTCTTTTAGAGAAATAAAGCACCCACATTCCTGTAAGGAATACTTACAGGACAGTGAGTCGTGTGGATATAAATGGTATATCTTCAAGTTAGGTTTTGAAGGAAACTGAAAAATTATTCCGTTTCCCAATTTTATCTGTAAAGCACTGAACATATATGTTAATATTTATTTGTCTGCAGTCAATGCTCATGTATTATGCCAAACCAGGAACAATGTTATGGATCTGTATAGATCTGTAAATGATTAGTCTTACTAAGTTGTAGAAGATAGTAGAAAATGAAGAAGGTGGACTCTGAACTTTTATTCTAGTTTACTAAGAAAGTATTCTTTCTGTTGAAGGTAGATCTATTTCCTTTAGGATTTCTCTCTGTTGCAATCTTACTGCCCTGAATGAGATGATCTAATACAAAAAAAAGAGTCCTTTAGCAAGCTGGAAATAGGCTTGGCTGTACGTTCATTTCTCACTTAGGTTACAGCCATATACTGGGGTAAGTTTCCCTGTTACAAGGACATGAATATGTTCTCCAAGCTAACGAGTAGGTAATTTGAGGATATCTCCCATTATATACAAATAATCCATTCTCAGAAATTTTGAAATTTATTATGTGATATTTTCTCAGTTTTGTATGAATTTGTATGGTGTTAGTAAGTTGGTAATCTCATTGTAGAGTTGTGAATAGGACCACATAATTTTTGAAATTGTGGGTAAAAATTCTGTTCTTTGATTTGTTCAAATAGGTGGTTGGCTCAATGAAGATTAAAAACAGCCATCATTTGACACCAAAAAGGCCTGTTTACAACCATATGTAAAGCATTTCCTCACTAGGGAATTGTTAGTAGGGCATACTAATAATATTAATAAACATCTCAAGTCTTTTTGGTTGAATTACTTTTCATGTAGTACTTACAGGCATTAAGTCCTGGTTGACTCTTCCTCACCAGTGTAATTTTTTTTTTAATGTTTTTATTTATTTCTAGGAGAGAGAGAGAGACAGCGTGAGCAGGGGAGGGTCAGAGAGAGAGGGAGTCACAGACTGAAACAGGCTCCATGCTCTGAGCTGGCCGTCAGCACAGAGCCCGACGCGGGGCTCAAACCCATGAACTGCGAGATCATGACCTAAGCGAAAGTCGGATGCTTAACCGACTAAACCACCCAGGCGCCCCCACCAGTGTAATTTTTTAAGAAACTTTTAAGTGAATAAAAAAAAAAAACTGTCAGAAACATTTAGAATTCTGAAATCTATTATGACACATGTAAAGCTGTTAAAGATTTATATAGAAATAACTAATATAAAACATGGTTTTGGGGTGCCTAGATGGCTTAGTCAGTTAAGTGTCCGACTCTTGATTTCTGCTCAGGTCATGATCTCACAATTCATGAGATATGAGATCTGAGATCTGTGCTCTGTGCTGACCGTGCGAAACCTGTTTGGGATCCTCTCTCACCCCCTTCTCTCTGCCCCTCCTCTCTCTGTCTTTCTGTCTCTCTCTCTCTCTCAAAATAAATAAATATTTTTAAAAAAACAACTAAAAAACCACAGTTTTAAAGTATGATATTTAGAGGCACCTGGGTGGCTTAGTCAGTTAAGTGTCCGACTCTTAATTTCAGCTCAGGTCATGATCCCCTGGCTTGTTGGATGGAGCCTTGCTTCTGGCTCTTCGCTGGCAGCACAGAGCCTGCTTGGGATTCTCTCCCTTCCTGCCCCTTTCACCACCCCAATAAATAAATAAACTTTTAAAAAGTATGGTATTTAGTATGCAGTGGAAGTTACTAGTGGATAAATTTTAATGAGCTTCTAGTTTTAAAAAGGAGGTTAAAATAGTTTTTACAGGTTATTTATGTTAAAAATTAATCATACTTTATTTTTGTAATTTTGTATTCTGAAACAAGAAGATGCTGTATAGTTTTTTTCTTTAGCTGCTGGACCACTGAGACATAACTTGAATTTTATGATGTTAGAAGCTTGGATTTAATAACTTGACAAAGATAATTATTTTTCACATGCATTTGTTTTTCACATTAATTTATAAACAGTTAAGTGGTAAAATGCCAAGTTTTGACTGAATTGACTGAAAATAAAATTAGTCTTTGAAGTTTCATATGAGGTGATAGAAGTTTTTGTATCAGATGTCAGTGTTATTTAAATAAAGATGTCTTAAAGTTTCAATAATGTTTTAATGTTCCTGACTTCATAAAGACATTTCATAGAATATTATTTTAATGCCTTTTATATGAAGTACTATATTACCAAACATAAAGAGGGTGCTAACACTTTTATTTACATTTCAGTTGGGTTTCTGCACTTTTCCTTCTTTTTTTCTAGTCTGTGATCCATTTCTGTCTTAATAGGGTGGCTGACAGTTCTTTTCAAGTATACTTAGAAAGGCAAAAGAGCCCTTTTCATAGTACTTATAAGGGGTCATGCTTCTGTTTTTTAGTTTGAATTTGATACTGCTTCATGAATTGCTGGGTATGAAAGATTAGGAAGTAGGTCCAGTGGTCAGATTTTACCTGCCCACCCGGACTTTGCCCTGAGGTCAAACTCCTTATATTTGCTGTTCTGAACAGAAGAGCTGATGACAAGTATGAGCCGATACAAGAGGAAAGTTAGAACCATATCAAAGCTGAAGGCAAGAGAATTGGGACTCAATGAGAGACTGTAGCTAAAAGATGGATCATCAGAATTGCCCTCTTTTAAAGAAAAGGAAATAGCTGACCTGTGAGTGAAAAGACTTTATCATCCTGCCAATCACATGTTTGCTAATGGAAGCCAGTTATCTCAACAATATCTTAAGGTCTGCTTAAGCGATGCAAAGGGATAGTGGTACTGGGACTGCGTTATATGAAGTACTGTCTCAGTCAGTTTTAGATGTGCTGTTTTAAGATGTATGTGTAAACTTTTTTAAAAAGTAAACCCTGTTGTCCTTCTGCCTCCAGTTCTGAAATTAATTCACTGAACGAAGAACTTTGGTATACTTA